TTCCCTGTCTGGTTCTCTGTGGTGGGCTCAGTCCTAGGTGGAGGGTGTGATGAGGGTGGCTCACAGGCCCCACGGTCCTCGGAGGCCCCTTCCCATCTGGACCTGCACCTCCCTCCTCTGCTTCCCAGGGGATAGCAGGGCCCTGGATGGGTGAGGGGTGGCTCCCAGCTCCTGGAATGGCAGCTTGGGGAACATGCCGTGTTAGCCAAGGTCCCCACTGCCCCAGGCGGCTCTCACATCCCGGTCCCCAGTCTCCCGCTGCCACCATACAGTCCCAGAACTGGGAAGCTCTCCCTTGAGTACTCCAGGCAAGGCTGCCCCACTGGATGTTCCCAGGACACATGGCGAGGATGAGTCCAGGTTGTCCCGGGTGATCTGAGAAATGGGGCCAGAACACCAGTGAGTGAAGCTGTGCTCCCTGGGTCAGCCCCCCACCCAGAGGAGAGCTGGGCCTCCCCTTCTGGGTGGGGGGCTGGGCACCCTCCTGCCATGCCAGCTCTGTGCAGGATCATGGCAAGCCTGTGTCTGGTGACATTCTGCACCTTTGGAACGGCCTCTGAGGACCCCAGAAATGAGGTTCCTGGGGTGGCCTCCAGGCCGACACTGCCTGTCCCTGGGCCCTGCCTGCCTGGCCTCCACGGCACTAGGCCCCTACCTGTGCAGTGGCCCTGAGCACCCCATTTTGGGTGCAGCTCTGTCCCCACTCTTCGTCCCAGATCCCCAACAGGCTCTGAATTTTCCTCTAGAGCTCTGGTTGCCTTTGGACCAGCTGCAGCAGACCCGCGGCTTTACTGTCTGCTCCCTTGGTAGATGGGATGCTCCCAGACGGGGGTGCCTGCCTGTCCCGCTATGCCCTGAGCAGGGGACCAGCGGCTGTGCCCTGGTGGACACTCAGTGGGCATGAATGAACAGTGAATGAAGGAATGGCCCCTGGAGAGACCAGCCGGGGTCACCCCACATGCTCATGGGGCCGGGGACACCCCCACATGCTCATGGGGCCACCTGAGGGGGAGGTCAAGGGAGTGGTGGCCCAGCCGTGGGCCCGGGTGACCTCCGAGGCACGGCAGCCTGGAAGAGATCCTCCCAGTGCCACCATCCGGACCTTCTGCCCCTCCCTCCGTGCATCCTCTGAGGGGACGTGCCTGTCCTTCGGCCGGCTCGGGCCCAGCGCTCTCTCCTCTTCCCAAAGGCCAGGCCCGGGACAGCACTGCAGAGCTCGGCTATGCGTACCCGGACCTCCCTCCTGCCCCCCAGGGGCCTGGCGGTGAGTGGACCCCCCACCTGTTAGAGCCCCCCCACCCCCTGCCCCAGCAGTCAAAGAGCCCTTGAGGGGCCATGGGTCACTCACCTTGGGCCCTGCAGGCTGCTTGCCATCCCCTTCCGGCGTGGCTGAGATAGGGTGACAGGCTGGCTGGGAGCTCACAGAATGTCCCTTTCTCCCTGGAGTTAACACCTGATACTCCAGTGGTGGCAGGGCAGGTGAGGGTCAGCCCCCAGCGCGGCCAGACGCCCCAGAGCAAGGGGAGGCTCAGGGACAGACCCAGCCACCTCAGTTTGCATGTCCCCAAAAGGGGCTCCCAGGGAGGCGCACCTGTGCCTGATGTCAGCACCCAAGGCATTGCCCGTAGCTGCTGATGTGTTTGTTTGTTTTTTAAATCGGGGTATAGTTTTACAATGTTGTGTTAGTTTCTACTGTACAGCAAAGCAAAGTAGAGTTCCCTGTGCTATCCAGCAGGTTCTCAGTTGTTACCTATTTTATACATATTAGTGTATATACGTTAATCCCAATCTCCCAATTCATCCCACCCCCCTTTCCCCGCTTTGTGTCCATACGTTTGTTCTCTACGTCTGTGTCTCTATTTCTGCCTTGCAAACCTGTTCATCTGTACCATTTTTCTAGATTCCATGAATATGCGTTAACATACGATATTTGTTTTTCTGTTTCTGACTTACTTCACTCTGCATGACAGTCTCCAGGTATTGATTCAGGCATTTTTGAGATTCTGGGAGCAAGGAAGCCCCAGTGCAAACAGCATTCTGGGCCACGGGGTGTGAGAGCTGGGGCCCCTGGGGTGCTCTGCTCTCAGCCCACAGTGGTCCCCGCTGGCCTTGGTGTTCTGGAGTCCGCCAGATCCGAGCAGTCGCGGAGCCGCCAAAGCGTCTCGTGGGGGCTGAGCTGTGCTTGGGCGGTGGGGGTGAGGGCTGTGTGTCACCTGCCCTGTTTCCACAGGCAACTCCCTCCGCGGGGTGACCATCCACCCGCCTCTGAGGAGGACCCCCCTGGTGCGAGGTGAGACCCCGAGAGGCCAGGTGGGGGGCCATGTTGGCCGAGCTCTGCCTTGTCAGACCTGGTGGGGGGGTGGGCAGGGGGAACGCAGCTTCCCAGGTGGATGAGGGCCCAGGTTTCGGGACGTCCGGGTGTCCCAGACTCGGCGCCCTCGGAAAGGCCCTGCTCTGTTCTGCCCACAGCCCTGAACGCGGCGCACCGCGGGCGGGTGTGCAGCACGTGGGGCAACTTCCACTATAAGACCTTCGACGGCGACGTCTTCCGCTTCCCCGGGCTGTGCAACTACGTCTTCTCTGCGCACTGCGGTGCCGCCTACGAGGACTTCAACCTCCAGCTCCGCCGCGGCCCAGGCCCCAATGCCACCGTGCCCAGCAGGGTCACCATGAAGCTTGACGGCATGGTCGTCGAGCTGACCAAGGGCTCCGTCCTGGTCAACAGCCGCCCGTGAGTCTGGGCCCTGGATGGCGAGGATGCTTCTGGGCCGTCGGGGGAGGGAAGTGCAGTTGTCCCAAGAGTGGGGCCCGGAGCGGTGCCCCCCAGGCCCCCATGCTCGGCCCCCTGACCCGTCCAGGGGCTCAGGCTCTCCCTCTGCCCCTGGAAGCGGCCCCTTCCTCGTTCTTCTGATGCCAGAGCTCCAGGCTCTTGTGGGCATGTTGACCTTGTCATACGTGTGACTGAAGGGACCCTCCCTGCCCGAAGCCCAGACCTATGTTGCCCATCCCCTCGTGCCCTATGGCGCCTCAGCTGGGCCCTCTCTCCGCAGAATTCAGCTGCCCTTCAGCCGCTCCGGAGTCCTCATTGAGCAGCGCAGCAGCGGCGTGAAGGTGGCGGCCAGGCTGGGCCTGGTCTTCATGTGGAACCAGGATGACAGCCTCCTGGTGAGGCAGGGGGCCGGGCTCGGGGGACCAGGCACATGCCTCCAGCCTGACAGCCTCCGCAGGGAGGGGGGAAGGTGCTCTGGACGAAGGAGGGTGGGAAAGCCAGACACCCCCAGCCCCGTGGCAGCGAGGATGGGGGACCAGATGCTAACGGGGCCCCAGGGTCCACACCCCTGATGGAGACCCTGCGTGTAGGGGCAGCTTCCTCCAGGACAGACCCCCTGCTCCGGGTCCCAGCCGCGTGGAGCAAGTGGGGAGGGTCCTCTGTGAGGAGGCCCAGCTGCTCCAGCCTGGGGAACCTCGTCTGTCCTTCTGGCCCGGGGCTGTCCCTGGCACGGCTGGAGTCTGACGTGTCCTCTCACTGCAGCTGGAGCTGGACGCCAAGTACGCCAACCGGACCTGCGGGCTCTGCGGGGACTTCAACGGCGCCCCCGTCTTCAACGAGCTCTCCTCTCACAGTACGCCCCGGGGCGCGACCCCCCGCCTGCTCCTGCTCTGTGTTGCCTGGAAGCCCCCCGCCGCCTGCTCCTGCTCTGTGTTGCCTGGAAGCCCCCCGCCGCCTGCCCCTGCTCTGTGTTGCCTGGAAGCCTGCCTTCCAGGGTCCCAAGTCAGAGGTCTCAGTCTTAACACATGTGCACACACCCACACGTGCACGCAGACCCACACACTCAAGGTCCAGCATGCACGCGCCCCTACACCACACACACGTGCACAGACTCTGGCACGCCCCAGCACACACAGACGCACGGCGTGAGCTCACGTGCACTCACCCCCACCCCATCCCACCCAGCACACGCTCTCGGCGGGGCAGCCCCCGCTGAGCCCTCCCGTTCTCAGTGCCCGTCACACACCCTCTTCTGAAATCGACGACCTGCCTCCATGCAGACCCTGTCTCTGCTTCTTGGTCCTTGAGACTTTGCCAAGCAGTGGCCTTTTATGTGACCCACACCCGCTGCAGCCCCGATCCGAGGGTCCCCACTGTCAGGCCCATGAAGCCCCATGCAGAGCCCATACGTAAGGGACACCCTCAGGGGAAGCCTGACTGAGTGCCCAGCAGTGGCCGGCAGGGGTCCAGGGTCACTCTCCAGCCCTGGGCCAGCGGAGCGTCAGTTAACGGACCTCAACCCGCTGCCCTGCAGCCCCGAATGCCCGGGAGCTCCTCATTTCATCTCCAGACTCCCCGAAAGTCCTGCGTAGCCGCCGCTTAAACTGGCGGTGTGGAAGGGGAAGGCAGGCGTAGCCCGGTCACCCCGAGCGAGGGCCGCTGGGAGCCTGCAAAGAGCCCGGTGTTGTGCTTCTGGCAGACATGAAGCTGACCGCCACCGAGTTTGGGAATCTTCAGAAGATGGACGGCCCCACGGAGCAGTGTCAGGACCCTGCCCCTGAGCCCCCCGTGAACTGCTTGACCGGTTTTGTAAGTCCCAGAGTGAACGGGGGTGGCGTCGGGCTCCCACGGCCCTGGGGACAAGCCGAGGAGGGGGCCGTGAGCCAGGGGATGTTCCAGAGCCTGGACTGAGTGCCCCGGCTTTGCCCCAGGACATCTGCGAGGAGATGCTGAGCAGCGAGCCGTTCTCGGGCTGTGCCGCCCTGGTGGACGCCAGCAGCTACCTGGAGGCCTGCCGGCAAGATCTCTGCCACTGTGGCCAGGCCAACCTCACCAGCTGCCTCTGTCCCACCCTTGCCGAGTACTCCCGCCAGTGCACCCACGCCGGGGGGCTGCCCCTGGACTGGCGGGGCCCCCAGCTCTGCCGTGAGTGCCCTGCGTGGCCCCGGCCCAGCCATGCTGTCCCTTCTCGGGTCGGAGGCAGGGGCAGGGCGTGACACGCGCCCCATCTCCGCCCTGCAGCCCAGACGTGCCCCCTCAACATGCAGTACCGCGAGTGTGGGTCGCCCTGCGTGGACACCTGCTCCAACCTGGAGCACTCCCAGCTCTGCGAGGACCACTGCATTGCCGGCTGCTTCTGCCCCGAGGGTGAGCAGGAGCCCCATCCCCTCTGGCCTCCCAGAATCACACAGATGCATTGTGGGTGCTCAGGAAGGAAGGCCCCTCTGACGTGGCCCGAGGCGTCCCTGGACCCCTGGGTCTGAGGAACCCTCCAGGGCAGGGCCACTGCGGGCAGAGGGCCTGTCCCCTCCACACACCCACATGGCAGGCACAGTCCGGCACCTGCCACGTGGCCTGCCTGCCTCTGCAGGGACGGTGCTGGATGACGTTGGCCACACTGGCTGCATCCCGGTGCCCCAGTGCTCCTGTGTGTACAACGGGGCCACCTACACTCCAGGGACCAGCTACTCCACAGACTGCACCAACTGGTAGGACCCTGGGCCCCTGCCCTCCCCTCCCCCGGAGATGCCCAGGGACGGCCCCTGCCCTCTGGTCCCCCTAGATGCGCCCGGGCCGGCCCCTCTGGGGGCTTGTCCTCTCCCACGCGGGTCCCCGGGCAGAGACCAGTGGCTCTCTGGGCAGGCGCTGATGGACTCCAGTCTAAGTGGTGATGCAGGCAGGCCTGGGCAAGTCTACCTGCCATCTTGGGGGGGCAGGCTGCTCCCGGGGGCCAGCACCCACGTGGTCGCTCCCTGCTCTCAGCACCTGCTCTGGAGGCCGGTGGAGATGCCAGGAGGTGCAGTGCCCGGGCACCTGCTCGGTGCTGGGTGGTGCCCACTTCTCCACGTTCGACGAGAGGCAGTACACGGTACACGGGGACTGCAGCTACGTGCTGGCCAAGGTACATGGCCCCAGGGTTCTCCCCGGACAGAGCGGCTTTCAGGCTGTGGGTCCACGTGTCCTTCCCCAGCCTGGGCTGCATGTAGGTGCTGCATTTGGGGCCACCTTGGGATCCCCGATGCCGAGTCCTCCAGGAAACCACCCGAGCTCTGGGCGGGCGGACGCGTGGTGGGGAGGGGAGAGGATGAGGCAGGCTGGGGGCCGCTGAGCTTTGTGTGAGGACCTGTGTTTCCAGCCCTGTGACAGCAGCGCCTTCACCGTGCTGGCCGAGCTGCGCAGGTGTGGACTGACCGACAGCGAGACCTGCCTGAAGAGCCTGACGCTGACCCTGGGCGGGGGGCACATGGTGAGTGCAGACCCTGGGGTTGGGGGTATCCTTCACGGCAAGTGACCTCTGCCCGAGCCCTTGATCCCACGTGGGCAGCAGGTGGCCCAGGCACGGCCCGAGGACCCTCCCACTGACTCCCTGCTTCCACCCCTTGTGGCTCTTTTGACTGGCGGTCCCCAAAGGGAACAGCTCAGGGGCTGGCAAGGGGCCTCCACACCTCCCCCGTGAGGCCAGGAAGCTTCTCTGCTGAAGTCGACTTTTTTACTTTAGTAAATCTCTTTGGTTTTCACGTCGCCAGTAAAAGGTCCGGTCCTCGCAGAAAGCTTAGTGGAGCAGGCTGAGCCTGGGGGATGGGGGGCCAGGTCATCAGTCCACTTCTGCCCTGGGGAGGCCATCGTGAGCCCTGTCATGTGCTTCTCCAGGTCTTCGTGGTAAAGGCCAGCGGGGAGGTGTTTGTGAACGAGATCTACACCCAGCTGCCCCTCTCGGCAGGTGAGGGCGCCTCCCTGCTCCGCCCCCTGACAGCCCCGCCCCCGACAGCCCCGCCCCTCGCGCCCACTGAGACCTGGGCCCCTGTGTCTGCAGCCAACGTCACGCTCTTCAGACCCTCCAGCTTCTTCATCATCGCCCAGACCCAGCTGGGCCTGCAGCTGGACATCCAGCTGGTGCCCATCATGCAGGTGTTCGTGAGGCTGGCTCCCCAGCTCCAGGGGCAGACCTGCGGTAAGAGGGTCACCACCCAGCACCCGAGTCCACCCTCCGCAGCCCAGCACACAGGCGCCTCACGCCACCCCCGCCCCCAGGCCTGTGCGGGAACTTCAACCAGAACCAGGCCGACGACTTCCGGACCATCAGCGGCGCGGTGGAGGGCACGGCCGCCGCCTTCGCCAACACCTGGAAGACCCAGGCCGCCTGCCCCAACGTCAAGAACAGCTTGGAGGACCCCTGCTCCCTCAGCGTGGAGAGCGGTGTGTGTATCCAGCAGCCCCGCGGGCCAACCTGGTGCCGGGGCCCCTGGGCCAGAGGTCTGAGCATGCGCTCCTTGGGGGCCCGGCCTGAAGGGGGAGTCAGGTGGTAGTAAACAGGCAGACTCAGCATATGCGATGTTCTGGCCGGTGAGCCCCGGGAGGGGAGGATCAGGGTGCTGGGGGGAGTGGAGACCCACCGTGCTTGCCTGCTGTCCTGGGGAGACCGGGCTGCGGCGCTCCGGAAGCAGCCTAGGTCTGCTGACGCCCGGCACTCCTTCACACGGAGCATAAGGGACTCCGGCTACAAGGAAAGCTGCTCATCTCCATGTAGCTCCCGCCTGACGTGGCCGTCCAGCCTCGCTGACCGCCCTGCTCCTCTGTGCGCAGAGAAATACGCTCAGCACTGGTGCTCCCGGCTGACAGACCCCCACGGTCCCTTCACCCGGTGTCACGCTGCTGTGAGCCCCAGCGCCTACTACTCGGTAATGCCACCCACCTGCCTCTGCCCTTGGACCACTCGGCCACCCTCAGGGTCCCAGGGGCCGTGGCAGCAGCGTCTGGGCCCAGCAGGTCTCTCAGCCTCCAGTTTCTCCCACCCCCATTCACTCACTCATTCACTCACTCACTTATTCATCCACTCATTCATCCACTCACTCATTCATCCGCTCACTCATCCGCTCACTCATTCAACCACTCACTCATCCACTCATTCATTCATCACTCACTCATTCATCCACTCATTCATCTGCTCACTCATTCGCTCACTCACTCATCCACTCATTCATTCATCACTCACTCATTCATCCCTCACTCATTCAACCACTCACTCATTCATTCATCCACTCACTCATTCATCCACTCACTCATTCGTCCACTCACTCATTCATCCACTCACTCACCCAGTCACTCACTCATCCACTCATTCATTCATCACTCACTCACTCATCCACTCATTCATTCATCACTCACTCATTCATCCACTCACTCATTCATTCATCACTCATTCATTCATCACTCACTCATTCATCCACTCACTCATTCATTCATCACTCATTCATTCATCCACTCACTCATCCACTCACTCACTCACCCACCTGCTGTGGTTCTGAGTCCGTCCTGTCTTCCAGCTCCATGCTAGGCACAGGGGCTACACCCAGGGAGTGAGTAGCCTGCTGGCCCCAGGGTGCGAATGAGAAACTGGTGTCTAAGGCTGACTACACAGGGCTGGACCGCTGGGTCACACAGATGAGGGGCTGTGGTCCTTTCAGCACCCCCGCCCCCCAGCCCAGGGGCGTGACTGCAAGATGCTCTGTGCACGTTAGTGGGACCCCCGTGAGGCTCGGGAAAGGGTCCTGGGGAGGCAGGGGCTCCGGCAGCAGCGTGGGGGAAGCTCACCGTGTGTGGCCTGGTGTCCCTGACATCCCGATGCCCCCCGCAGAACTGCATGTTTGACACGTGCAACTGTGAGAAGAGTGAGGACTGCATGTGCGCGGCCCTGTCCTCCTACATGCGGGCCTGCGCCGCCCGGGGCGTGCTGCTTGGCGGCTGGCGGGACGGCGTGTGCAGTGAGTGTCCCAGGGTGGATGTCCCATGGCCCCCGTCCCCCAACCAGGCTCAGAGGCCAAGGAGCGCCCAGGCCAGTGCCCCGGGACCCCGTCAAGGACGAAGGGCCTGGCGGAAGCAGGGACGCAAGGGGGGCCGGCCCTGTCCTGAGTGCTATACCCCCCACCCCCCGGCATCCTGCAGCAAAGGCCATGACCACCTGCCCCCAGTCGCTGACCTACCTCTACAACATCAGCACCTGCCCGCCCACCTGCCGGGCCCGGAGCGATGCGGACGTCACCTGCAGCATCAGCTTCGTCCCAGTGGACGGCTGCACCTGCCCTGACGGCACCTTCCTGGATGATACGGGCAAGTGTGTGCCGGCCGCCAGCTGCCCCTGCTACCATGGGGGCTCCGTGGTCCCCAACGGGGAGTCGACGCACGAGCAGGGGGTCGTCTGGTAAGAGCCCCTGATGAGTGGGTGGGGTGGACGAGGCTGGGGGGCTCTCTGACCACTCTCTCCTTGCAGCACCTGCACCCAGGGCACACTGACCTGCATCGGAGGCCACGTCCCAGCTCCAGGTGAGCCCGGAGTGGGGGAGGGGGCCCTCGATTATCTCTGCATAAAGTTACCTAAGTACGGGGTTAAATGCCCACAAGTCAGCGAGGCTGGTGGGTGTCAGTCTGCGTCTCTGGGCTCAGCAGTGTGGGCACCCTGCCCACGCACTCACACACTCACCCTGGGGCGGCCAAACACTGCCGTCGGGAAACACGTCCCTCAGGCGAGCCTGGCAGGTGGCGCCAGGGTCCCCTGAATGGCCCCTCCCTCCCCAGTCTGTACCCCACCCATGGTCTACTTTGACTGCCGCAATACCACGCCTGGGGCCACTGGGGCTGGCTGTCAGAAGAGCTGCCACACCCTGGACATGGACTGTGTAAGTGTCCCCGGTGATCCCCCTCCAACAACCCCACACCTGCTCGGCCCCCATGGGTACCTGTGGAGAAGCCCACTCACTGGCCCCAGGGGACCCCTGCCCGCAGGCTGCTGGTCCTGTATCCCTGTGGCCCCGTTGCAGGCCCTGGGGGTCCACTAAGCTGTGTCTGCTCCCTCCGCCTCCATAGTACAGCTCCCAGTGTGTGCCTGGCTGTGTGTGTCCCCACGGGCTGGTGGCCACTGGCGACGGCGGCTGCATCCCTGTGTCCGACTGCCCTTGTGTGCACAACGAGGCCAGCTACAAGCCGGGCCAGATCATCCGGGTGGGCTGCAACACCTGGTATGGGGAGGGGCTCGGACCCCACCTGGGGGAGGGCTCCCTGCAGCGGGAGGTACAGCCCAGCCCAGCCTGGGTGGGGGTGCCTGCCCCCACCCAGGCAGGCAGCTGGGCCTCCAGGAGGGAGGTTTGGGCCTGATGCCTGCCGCCCCTGCCCCAGCACCTGTAAGAGCCGCATGTGGCAGTGCACAGACCAGCCCTGCCCGGCCACCTGCGTGGTGTACGGCGACGGTCACTACCTGACCTTCGACGGGCGGCTCTATAGCTTCAGCGGGGACTGCAGGTACACGCTGCTCCAGGTATGTGGCTGCCGAGCCCTCCCGCCGCCCCGCAGGCCTGCCGTGCTGCCCCGCGGTGCACGCTCAGTCCCATCCTGGCCTCCCCCAGGACCACTGTGGGGGGAATGGCAGCGCCCAGGACGGCTTCCATGTCATCACCGAGAACGTCCCCTGTGGCACCACCGGGACCACCTGCTCCAAGACCATCAAGATCTTCCTGGGGGTGAGCAGTGGGCGGGGGGCTTGGTGGGGAGCCCCCAGGAAGGCCACGCTCCCATGGCCGAGCCGGGACAGGGGCCGCAGGGCCATGGACCCGTTCGACAGGTAGCCGGGGTCCTCACCCAGACGCTCACTGGCCCTGCCCCACGCAGAGCCACGAGCTGCAGCTGAGTGACGGGAACGTGGAGGTGATCGAGAAGGAACAGGGGCAGCCGCCACCCTTCTCCATCCGCCAGATGGGCAACTACCTGGTGGTAGACATGGATGTCGGCCTGGTGTTGCTGTGGGACAAGGGGACCAGCATCTTCCTCAGACTCAGCCCCGAGTTCAAGGTGAGACCCTGCCCAGGAAGGACGCCGCCCTCACCCCAGACCAAGGGCCGGCCGGAGATGGGGGTGCGGGTGGGGGAGAGACAGAGAGAGATGATAGAAAAACAGAGAGACACAGAGAGATATAGAGAGACAGAGAGACAGAGAGAAACAGAGAGGCAGAGAGATAGAGAGGAGGTGACAGTAGGAGTCCCTTGGCTGTGTCCGGCTCCTGCAGCTGCTGGAAGAAATGATCCCTAACTGGTGGCCCTTCTCTCGCAGTCTGGACACTAAGTCCAACCAGGTGCCCCAGGGCCACGTTCCCTCCAGAGGCTCGAGGGGAGGATCCTTCCCGCCTCCTCCAGCTTCCGTGGCCCCAGGCGCCCCGTCAGCCCAATCCCTGCATACGATGTCCCTTTACTGTCTTCCCTCTGTGTGTGTCCCTCGTCCTGTAAGGACACCGGCCACTGGATCAGCCACCCCAGCCCAGGATGCCCTCATCCTAACTTGACTGCATCCGCAGAGCCCCTGATTCCGCCGTGGGCCACACTCGTGGGTCCTGGGTCAGGACCTGAGCCCGTCTTTGGGGGACACTCCGTAGCCACTAGGCGGCTTCTCCTGTGCCCTCCCCTCCTGGAGACTTCAGAGCCCAGTGGGGTTCTTCCTGAGGGCCCCCGGCGTGGTTGGGGGGGAGCGAGTGAGGTCGCAGGGCCCCTCCTGCGCTTGCCCTGAGCCTGTGCCGTCTCTGCGTCTGTCCGTCCGCAGGGTAGGGTCTGCGGGCTGTGTGGGAACTTTGACGACAACGCCCTCAATGACTTCACCACGCGGAGCCAGTCCGTGGTGGGCGACGTGCTGGAGTTCGGCAACAGCTGGAAATTCTCCCCGTCCTGCCCGGACGCCCAGGCCCCCAAGGACCCCTGCACCGCCAACCCGTACCGCAAGTCCTGGGCCCAGAAACAGTGCAGCATCATCAACAGCGGCACCTTCGGCGCCTGCCACGCCCACGTACGCGGGCTGCTCCTCCAGGCCCCCGGGGAAGAAGGGACAGAAATGGGAGCGGTGGCTCTTTGCCGCCCTCTAGGGCCAGCTGTGGCCGTGAGGACCGGTCTGGCTGGCCTCGTGGGACAACGAGCTCCAGGGGAAACCGGCCCAGGCCGACACCAAGCCGCACTGATTTCCCGGAGCCCACAGGGGTGGCGGGTCCCCCGGCATCTGAAGCCTCTCTCTCCTGTAGGTGGAGTCGGCCAGGTACTACGAGGCCTGCGTGAGCGACGCGTGCGCCTGTGACTCGGGGGGCGACTGCGAGTGTTTCTGCACGGCCGTGGCTGCCTACGCCCAGGCCTGCCACGAAGCGGGCGTGTGCGTGTCCTGGCGGACCCCGGACATCTGCCGTGAGTGCCCACGGATGTGTCCATCAGGGTGGGGCGGAGACACAGGGAGTGACAAGAGTGGTATTGAATGTGTGAGGGGAGGAAGGGCTTGAAGGGAATCAGCAGAGCACCCCCCCCCTCCATGGAGCCTGGCCGCAGTGGGTGGGCGTCCCTGACAAGCCAGGCAGCCCCCCTCCCCACTGCCCCCTCTTGCCCCTGGGCATCCCAGGCCCATGTCCTCTGAAGCCGCGTCTGGGAGGCACAGAGGAGGGACGTGTCTTCAGAACAGCTCGCAGGACTTGGTCAAGGATCTGGCTACGGGGGAGCCCCCCGGGGCTGTCCTTGCAAGGGTGGCACTCCACCGGGGGCCCCCTGGGCCGAGCACCTGGCCCTGAGCCCGCCCCCATTGTCCGCAGCCCTGTTCTGCGACTACTACAACCGCAAGGGCCACTGCGAGTGGCACTACCAGCCCTGCGGGGCCCCCTGCCTGAGGACCTGCCGGAACCCCCACGGCCGGTACCTGCACGACGTCCGCGGCCTGGAAGGTGCGCTGCTGCCCTGCTGGTCTGGGCGGGGCCGTGCCGGGGAGCCGGTGGTTGGGGCCGAGGTTTGTCCTGGGGGTCCTGGGACCCTCGGCCAGGCCGGGCTGCTCCTGACCCCTCGTGGTGTCTTTGCGGCCATAGTCTCAAGCTCCCCATGGCGCTGTGGGGTCCAGGGCTGGGGACTGAGTCGAGGCGGGGGTGAGGCAGTGGGCAGTTGGTGTGGCTGGGACTCAGGCCTCTCTGGTCCCCAGGCTGCTACCCCAAGTGCCCATCAGAGGCCCCCATCTTCGATGAGGACAAGATGCAATGTGTAGCTTCATGCCCAACGCCCTGCCGCGTCCAGGGCAAGTCCTACGGGCGGGGCTCCGCGGTGCCCTCGGAAAAGAACTGCCACTACTGGTGAGGCGCTTGGCCGGAGCCGCGAGGACCCTGGAGCACGTGGGGGATTCGCCCAGCCCTCCGCTACTGGGGAAAGGCCCCACCCGGCCACCCCCCAGCAGAGCCTCCCTCCTTCAGGGCCAGAGGGTCCCCCAGCCTGGGTTTTCTGTGGGGTCCAACAGCGAGCTTCCTTTATGCAGGATGAGGGTGGGGGGTCTGGGGGTGAAGGAAGGGGCCAGAGGGGAAGCTGAGTCATGACACGGCCCAAGGACCTCTGGGAAGACACTCTGGAGAGGGAGTGGCCTTCAGAAGGTCCAGGGGGCTCAGTGGCCACGCTCGAACTGCCTTCTCTGGTCATTGATAGGAAGGGCTCCCTGAGAGGGTGTGACCTCTGGGGCTGAGGCGTGGCCCCCAGGGACCCCAGTGGGCTTCCCCTGCCTGCCTGCCCCTGGGTGAGTCTCTACCCCCAGACTCATCTCCCTTCCGTCGCCAGCGTTTGCACTGAGAGCGGCGTGCAGTGCACCTACGACTCTGAGGGTGAGCGGTGGGCGGCCCTCCTTGCGCCCAGGGTCTCGGGTCCCCGCCTGCGCCCCGGCCCCCTAACCACGTGGCTGCTGTCCTCCCCACAGCCTGTGTCTGCACCTACGATGGGAGGCGCTTCCGTCCCGGGGAATTCATCTACCACACGACAGACGGCACGGGGGGCTGCATCTCCGCCCGCTGTGGGGCTAACGGCACCATCGAGAGGAGGGTCGAAGCCTGCAGCACTACCACCCGCACCCCCCAAACCACCTTCACCTTCTCTACACTGATCGGTAAGGCAGATAGGCGGTGTGCCGACCGGGCGGGGCCGTTCCCCCACCCCTGGCCCCGAGCAGCAGGAAGGAGCCGGGACGGGACAGAGGGCATGTCCCTGTGCCAGTCAGCCTGCAGCAAGGAAGGGCCAGCCACCGCGAGGCTGGCAGGATCCATGTCCCCAGTCATGCCCTCAGGGCTGAGGCACCCAGCAAGGGGCAGGGGCTGTGAGCAAAGGTACCCCAGGTTCGTTCCTGGGGAGAGGACCACGGGAAGCCCAGCTGGGGAGTCCCTGCCTGGATCCACTGCTCTCCGATCGCCTTGCGTCGCACCAGGGCCAGGCATCTCCGCATCCTGACCTCTTCTAAGGGTGACTTAGGGCCTTACTAGAGCTTCCCCCAAGGGTGAAGAGCCCCTGTAACTCTGGCTTTAGATTCCGGGGAGCAGGCTTCGCTTACACAAGCTTAATTCACCCCTTGACTCAGCTGCGGTGAGCTTTACCCCTGCCAGGTTTGGGCATAACCCGGACGCTTGGCGGCTGCCCTGTCTCCCAAGTTCCCATCATGGGCGGAGACAGACAGACAGCTGACACTGACAGAGGGGGCGGGGTGGTGTCCTCAAGGAGTGTGGGGAGCCCTGACCCCTGACGCTTGCCCTTTCTCTCCTGCCCTCAGTCGTGAGCTCGACGCTTCCACCCAGCACACACCTCAGCCTGTCTGAAAAGGCAGCACACACGCCGAGCTCGGCCCCGGCCACCACCCTGGGCACATCCCCTGGACCAACCCTTCCCACAGCCTCCGCCCCGCCCTCGTCCCGGCCCCGCTGTGGGGAGGAATGCCAGTGGTCGCCATGGCTGGATGTCAGCCGCCCGGGACAGGGCATAGACAGCGGTGACTTCGACACGCTGGAGAACCTCCGTGCCTATGGGTACTGGGTTTGCCAAGTGCCGAGGGTGGTGGAGTGCCGAGCCGAGGGTGCCCCCGAGGTGCCGCTGGAAGTCCTGGGGCAGCGCGTGGAGTGCAGCCCAACGGTGGGGCTGACCTGCTACAACAGGGACCAAGCCTCTGGGCGTTGTGACAACTACCAGATCAGGATCCTGTGCTGTTTCTCCCGGGCCTGCCCCACTAGCAGCACAGAGACCACCCCGTCTGCAGCCTTCAGCACAACTGAACCTGGGCCCACGCCAGGAACCAGCAGGGTTACATCTGTGCCAACAGGGAGCACAGGTTCCTCAGCCCCTGTCACCACACCTGGCCCAACCACTGCCTCTACGACTAGCAGAACACCTGGCCCAGGTACCTCAACAACCGGGAGAATAACCCCCTCGACCCCCAGCCCAACGCCAGTTTCAACAACAGTTTCAACCACAACCTCTGTGTCAACCACAACCCCCGCGCCCTCATCTGAGCCAACCCAGGTCACCTGTTTACAAGAAACGTGCACCTGGACCAAGTGGATGGACGGCAGCTACCCTGGGGCAGGGAGGAACAGTGGAGATTTTGACAGTTTTCAGAATCTGAGATCCAAAGGTTATAAATTCTGTGCAAACCCCAAGAACGTGGAATGCCGGGCAGAAGTCTTTCCTAACACCTCACTGCAGGCACTGGGGCAGCACCTGATCTGTGACAAAAACGTGGGGCTGATTTGCTGGAACAAAGACCAGCTGCCCCCCATCTGCTACAACTACCAGATCCGGATCCTGTGCTGTGAGATGGTGGACGTTTGCAGAACAAAGACCAGACCCCTGACCACACCTGGGCCCACACAGACGACCACAGGTGAAACCAGCATCGCCTGGAGCGCCGCAACTTTCTCGTCTTCCACACGACACAGCGCTGCCAGCTCGGCTCATGTGCCCCCGAGAACGAGGGTCACAGCCAGAACAACTGAGCAGTCCCCTCCGGGGACCACCTCCTGCCAGCCACGGTGCCTGTGGACCGAGTGGTTCGACGTGGACTTCCCATCTCCTGGGCCCCACGGAGGAGACTTTGAAACCTACAGCAACATCGTCAGGAGAGGAGGGAAGATCTGCCACCGACCCGAGTGCACCAGCGCCCTGGAGTGCCGAGCCGAGGGCCACCCGGATGTCAGCATCCAGACGCTGGGCCAGGTGGTGCAGTGCAGCCCGGAAGTGGGCTTGGTGTGTCGGAACCGGGACCAGACGGGCAGGTTCAGGATGTGCCTCAACTACGAGGTGCGCGTGCTGTGCTGCGAGCCCCGGAAAGGCTGCCCTGTCACACATGTCACAGTTCCCAGCAGCTCACTCTCTCCAGAGTCCACCACCCCCACGGTTTCCCTGGTGACCTCCCCGAGCTCTGCAGCGCCCTCCACATCCACGTGCTACTGCAGTGTGGCCCACAGGTTATACCCCGCAGGTATGTGTACTCTACCTGGGTGTGTGGTGTGTGCTGACCCTGGTCACTGTTGTCCTGTTCACAAAACTACGGTGTTAAGGGGAGGGTGGGGTGCCTTGTCTTTGCGAAAGGGCTAGGTCTTGTGTATAGGAAGGCAGCAAGCCGTCTCTGAGGATATGCCATCTACGCCTGGGAAGGAAGGCCACCTGCCAGCCCAGCACCCACGTGGGCCACCAGCCTGGTTAGAGTCCCTCCTGGTGATCGCTTCTTGGCTCTCCTAGTGCCCTCCCGTTCCTTTTCTTGCAGGATCCATCATTTATCAACAGACGGACCTCTCCGGGCACTGCTATTATGCCGTTTGCAGCCTGGACTGCCATGTGGTCAGGCGGACCGACCACACCTGTCCCACCAGCACACCACCTCCCACCCCAGCCACCTCCACGCCAGCGTCCTCCCCTTCTGCCTCTGTGTCCGTTACTCAGCAAGGATGCCCAAATGCAGTCCCCCCAAGAATGGTAACCTCACCTTTTCTGCCCTTCTCGGGGGCTTGAGGGGGCCAGGGCAGGGACCCTCAACATCATTCAAAGTAGGCTGTGGCATCAAGGGTGAATGAAGGTTGGTGACCCCTTGGCTGATGTAGGCTGACCATGGCAAGCGGCCATTTCTGGTCCTCCAGAACTTCTGGAAGGGGGTGCCAGGAGCGTGAGGCCCGAGGCTGAGACTCTGTTGTCTATAAAGGGGGCTAGAGCAGGTGACTGATGCTCCGGACAGGGTCAAACGGCCAAGGAGTGGAAACGGTGGGTGGGTGGAAACGGGCAGAGGGGGAAGGGGGCAAACCTCCAACACCCGGAGCCCCTCCCAGTCAGCCGGGCGCTCGGCGGGGGCTGGGGAAGGAGAGGCCTGGTGTGAGTATTGGTCCCAATCCCGGTGGCTCTTCGCTCCCCGGAGACCCAGGCGAGCCCTGAGCCCCCAGGAGTGGGCGCCGGCTCAGGGCAGGGCCCTGCAGCAGTCTTTGCTTCCGCAGAAAGGCGAAACCTGGGCCATGCCCAACTGCTCTGAGGCCACTTGTGAGGGCAACAGGGTCATCACCGTGAGGGCGCGCCAGTGTCCAAAGGCGCAGAAGCCCAACTGCACCAACGGCCACCCTGCCGTGATGGTGGCCAGCCGGGAGGACTGCTGCCCACACTACGAGTGCAAGTGTGAGTGGGCGGGGCCGGGGGTGGCGGCCATGGCAGAGAAGGCGGGACGGAATCGGTGGGACCCAGGAAGGACTTCCCAAGGTCCGGGCAGTGGTGGTGGCGCCCAGCCTCCTCCCCAGGTGCCCGGCGGAACCCTGCGCAAGCCCAGAGCAGCCGGGCCACGCAGGCGCGAGGGGGCATCCGGAGTCTGGTCCCACCTCTTGGCCGCATTGGGCACCTACTGGACAGAGTTCTGTGCGCTGTTGGCGTGTGGGTCCCGACAACAGGGCAGTCGCCTGCTCCGCTTGGTGCGGGACACACCTGCCCCTGCGGGAGCCCCGGGACGGTGGGAGGAGGCCCGTAGTGCGGCCGGGTAAGGCGGCTCGTCCTCCCGCAGGCGTGTGTAGCCGCTGGGGCAGACCCCACTACGTCACTTTTGATGGCACATACTACACGTTTCTGGACAACTGCACGTATGTGCTGGTGCAGCAGATCGTGCCCGTGTTCGGACACTTCCGGGTGCTGATCGACACCTACTTCTGTGATGCTGAGGATGGCCTGCCCTGCCTACAGTCCATCATCATCGAGTACCAGCAGGACCGCGTCGTGCTGACCCGCAAGCCCGTCGGAGGGGTGATGACCAATGAGGTGGGGATGCCCTCCGGGCAGCCCCCACTTGTGCCGGGCGGACTCGGGGCGCCAGGCACTGGCTGATCGCCACCCGGTTCTCTTT